GCTTTTTAATAGTAATAGGAATCTATAATAACAAATTCAACATGCCAGCATTGTTTAAGTATATGTGTATAGCCTATACGTCCTTAAACGATGCGTTTCATTTATTTTATAAGTAATTAGAACGTTGAAACATGCTTTCAGCGTTTGATGTTCTGCATAGTTTTGTACGTTATAGATAGTAGTCACAGTTATTCGGATATGTGAAAGAGTAGGAATAGTTGAATCGATCATCCTGGAATTATTTCTTGGCCGAGTGATTCACAAAATTCTTTGATAGTAGGACGGGACACTTTCTAAAAGAAAAGGTGGCACAGAAACTTGCACGAAATTTCTTACAGTGATATTCTCGATGATAATGAACTCATCTCGTAAATATATTTCGATGTATTCTTATTCCGTGTACACGTTTAATACATGTTCGAAAAGACGTTCGACACGCATGAGGCACATGTGCACACGCTGTGGCCTTGATTCTTAAAGCCGTGAAAAGTTCCCGTCGTCGGGTCAATTAAACCAAGCCACGAAGTCATTGACTTTGGGTGCACGGCCAATTTCTCTTCGACAGTTCGTAATACCATGCGTCCTAAAAAGCTTCGATCTCGTGCACGTCGTCAATGATTTTTCACGTATGGACTTCGACCGTGACGATTCGGTTGAATCGTTTTTATGGAAGAGGCGATATGATAAAGTCAAACGTGACTAATAATTCCATTTACGCGTGTGAAAACGATTGCTCAGCGGGTGAGTAAAATCGTAGATTATTTATTGTATTTATTCGTCAAATCCGACAGACTACGCGTCGAAAAAATATACCAGGAAATCGAGCCACTCCGTTCGTAGCTTAAGAGCTATCACGATCTATTTCCCGAGATCTCTATCTAGATTCTTATTTTCAGTTTCGTCCACGAAGAAACGGTGTATCAAACTCTGGTCATACGAATAGAATTCTCCTTCTTGGCATCGAAAAACGTCGATGATAAGAGCGTACTCCCTACCTAGCCATATCGATCCCGGAACAGTTTCAATTTCGTGCGAAACGTACGAGTCCGATGAGTAATCGGCTATCCCCCCCGTCCCCATGTATACAGTCCGTGAGAGAACGTCGAGGATGTCCCTTACCCAAATTGGGCTTAAGTCGTTGGGTCAGGTCGACGCACGTGATCGTCTCGTGTGTGTCCCTGAACAGGGCCCGCGTGACACACGTTCGTCGAGTTGTGACGAAAAAGCGAGGGTGAATTTGCACGGTGCGCCTGGTCGTCGTCACTTTCAATGCCACGTAGCTCTGCGCCACGGGGGTGTCCCCACCCGGGACCATGATTCTCTCTATGGGGTGAGTCATGGTATAACTCCCTCCTGGTTTGGGCGTGGTGGCCGCTGCAGACGTTCCTCATCGATCTCCCCACGGGCATGGAACACCATAGGGCCAGCAGGAACGGGAACGGGGCTCGCCAAGGTGGTCCTTTTAATACTTTCGTAGCAGGACCTCGTGTAACGAGATACGCTCGAATTCAGTTCGTCGCAAGCCTTAGTAAGTTCTCTCGTTGGACGTCTTCAATTAAACATATAACAGTCGATGACGTGTAAAAATTCATTAGCATCTCGTGTTCGAGTATCTCGTTTCGTTGTATGAATTTATTCTTGCATTTTCTGCAAGTCTTTCTTATGAGGCCATGGGCATTTCTCGCTGATTCAATCTCTATGTGTCTATATCCACGTCTGATGATTAGACGAGTGGAAGTAAATGAATCAGAGAATTATTGTTATCTGTCTTTATAAGATTATCTCGTTTGAATCGAACAGAACTTCCTTATATGGCCAGGCTCGGGTTCGATATTAACACCTCGTTGTCTCACGCATTTACGTAATATTAGCTTAACGTTCTGATAGTAGTATCAATTTGTAGAAACAGTTCTTCGGTGTTATCGTAGCTTTCAAGAATTGAGCAATTATCGAGCTTCGAAAAAGCGGTCTTACACGTTGCAAACGTTCCGTTTGCATAAAATATTGTATTCGTTGAAATTTGTTTCTCTCGATGAGACTCTTTTGTTTCTGAGGAACAACAAATACTCAGGGTTATTAGAATCTCTCCTACGAAGATTCGCCCACACGTGGCGCGGTGCCAGAAAGAGTAAAAAGAGTCGGTTACACGGTTGAACGTAAACGAACCGATGTTCAAACGCACGTTATCGTATGAGAGACCAACAACGAGTCTTCTAAACACATGCGTCTATAGTTTCAAATCTGAGAGGCCTCCCAGCTGAAAGCTAAGACCGATGACTCATGCTCGAGCACGTATGGAATTTCTGCTTGTTCATGACGAATTCTGTCCTCCACCGTTGTGATCACACTCGTTTCACGCCAATCCTTGTTTCATATCGAACATTATTCTTTTTCGGGGACGTACGATCGTGAGTACAGTAGAATTGAAAGAAGCTTGAGAAACGACAGCGTCAGTAGAATGAAAAATGTTCTGTCCTACGTGATTCCTGACAAAAAGCGAGAGAATCGAGGCACATATTCGAGCTCTGGCATGTACATGCGTGCTATAACGGGTCGACAGGTGCCGTGATGAAAGCAGGTTCTCTTCTACCGATTCTCCCGTAGTCCTCCTTTGATCCAGTGCCGTATTCATAATCCACTTGGCGAATCTTTGTTACCAGTATAAGCAGTCAAGAGATTAGTTGGGACGAAAAGTCCATACGGAGCGACATTGAACCTTGACTCGGTCACAGGCGAATAAAGATAGTGAACGAATATACTTGAAGACATTTCATTGATACAGGAAAATAAATTCACTGTCCTCGCTTAAATACGATATCGAAGAAGTTTCTATTGTACGTTTTATAGAGTTGACCGGCGAATTTGGCTTGGAATACGTCGTCGGTATTTCAAGGTGAGTCAACTTATCGCATGGATGGCAAAGGGAGTCGGTCGCCTGACGTACGTTCCTGTACGCCGTCCCTCGAGACCCGTTTCCGTACTCCCTCGACGTAGCCCCGAGCGATGCACGAGGTCCCATTCCGTGCAGAAGTGCAATGTACCCGATAATTCGCGCGCCGGGGATATAACACGCATATTTCACGTATACGCACGGAAAAGTTGCTCGCGAGGAGAGGCGACGGTGGACGGGCGATGAAATTTTTATTAAATCGACTGCACATCCGGAATTACAATCATCCCCGTGGCACGTGACGAAACGTAACGTGGCCACTGAACATTTGTCCGTTTCCGGTGGGAAAAACACGCGGAGGAAACGACGAGATATGTCGAAACGATTGACAAAATGTACATACAATCGTCGACTTACAATAATTTAAGTATATGGCACTCCGTCGGTGTCTGCATCATTGCAGTTGCAGTGAACAAGTGTGAGACCATTGATAACGAGGACTGATATCGTCTCAGTGACGTCACGTTGTATAAATATCGATGATCTTAATTAGCATGTTAAACGTTACGTTGAAATCAAATGCGAACAAAGAATTTTATGCAATCATTTCAGTAATCGTGTTTACTGATCTGTAGCTGAGACATTCCTACATCGATTCAGTCAGATGATTCCTGTTACGATTTTAGCATAGAACGTATTCTCTCGAATGTAATTAATATCAAACATCGACGTCCGACGTGGAAACATGAAAAATAATCAGACACGTAAAACTCTTTCCTGAAACAATTAATATCTTTCCCGAGATTACATTTAAGCTTGAGAGCTGTGAGAAATGAATCTGGCTGGCCACGTTGTCATTATATAAATTGCAAGCGATTAATTATGATATGCATATCCGGTTTTCGCAACGAGCGAAGTAAAGTTCCCAAAGGAACCCTCCGGCCTGACCTTTAAACGTAATTCAACTTGAAAACGTTTTATACGAATGAAAATTCATTACTGTCTAATTAGATCTCATCGACTGTTACTTTCCACGTTGGATATCATTATATTTCCTGCTCTTACCATACAATGGATACTTTTACCAAGTCATGATTTTTTAGTTATTCTAGATACGTTCATATTTATTACATAACGTAATTACTCTGAAAATATTTTAGAGAGAAGTTGGAATTCTGGACGGAGGAACAAACTTTGAACAAGCCTTTTCCGAAACTATCGGGGATTGAAAAGTCGAAACTGGGATACAGAGTCTGACGGGGGCAAACTACGGATTTCCATTGTTTCCCAGTTGCATCGTGAACTTCTTGAAATTGCTACTTTCGAAGTTGCTTGTAAAATAATTTAGAAAAGCGAGGCAGGTCAAGTAACAGACATTCTGATAAAATAGCAGAACGATATGGCAGTTAAAGGGAAGATACAGTTTATTGATAATTATTCGATGATCGTGTAGCTGTACCCCTCGCCACGTATGATTCACCGTGTGTACGCGTTCTACCATAAGCGTATCGACCCTCGCATCTGCCGTAGATGGTATATAGAGCGAGCTATCGGCAAACACCGTGTCAAACGTGAATTCTATTCTGGCAGCGCGTAAGTTATTATCGAACACTTTTGCAAATTAATCTTCGTCAATCGGTACGTGTCTCAGAAGAACATCTATCCATATGACCGATTTGAATCATGCGTTTGACGGCACGTGTCTTATTCTTAATGTTTCATCGGAGGGATGGCCGTAGATCATTACTATTCTCGTAAAAGCGACTGGTTTTAGACGCGTGTACACGCTAGTAATTAGAAAACCCATTTGTCAAGCCGGCGTCTTTAGTGGGAACAGTTGGACCATTGCCAATGAGTACGCGATCGCTTTATTTCATCGCGTTCAACGCAAAACGTCTGTTGCGTTCAATCGTTAAGACCACTCATTCCCGGGTCCTGCTCGTTCTACTTTCACGCTACACTCGTTCGACCGTCATTCTTCAAGTATACCTTATCGTGTAAATACTTGTGTACCGTTTCTAAATATTTTCAGAAACCGGAAACGTACGGACTAGAGAGATTAGTGAGACTCCCATCTGCGTTCGTTTCTCTAGTCGACATATGGTCGTAGATAAATACGTGCTCCCTGTATTTCCTTTTATCTATCGTCCTGACTGAAATTTCGACGAAAGCATACTCCCTATATTGTAATTAAGGTTGTACGAGCCCTAAGATCTCTGACGAAAGTTTAGGACATGCAATAAAAAGCTGTGTCCAATTACACAGGAGTCAGGTTTATAAAATTGTTTGTCCTGTTTTCCTCGGTCATAAGGAATTTTTATATTCTAATACATAGGTATAGCTGTGATATCGAATCAAATAATGAAACGTTCTTCCGTTTTTCAAAAATATTCTGCATATTCTCGCACGGTACGAGTACCCTTTACATTTTCCGTAACGAATAAAATTTGCCTGGCGTGTAATAAGAGTAGAACACCGCGTCGTATGACGTCCTACAATTATACTAAATAGCGTGCGACGAGAATGTGGTGTCTGTTAGTGGAAATCGTACGAATCTTCGTATGCGAAGGGTGTCGGTGTTTCCAGATACGAGCCTTACTCCCTTTCTTCTCCGTCTGCTGGTCCCTCGTCCCAGCGGAGAAGGTATTCCAGCCATTCATCCGGTGGTTTTTGCTCGCCGGCTTAACGAATGTACACTCTGTTCCAGTTTCATTCAACCCGATTTTTTGCCCGCGACAATCGTTCGCCGATTACTATCTCGAATGAATGAGTACGCCGGAAACGACGTTCAGCTTAATCAAATTCGAGTATCTTGTTAAAATTTTATGAGAAAAATCGCTAGTTTCATTTGTACCGTTCTTCCTGTTGGAATCGAGAGGCGAGGCCTCGCTCACCAGCTTGGACCTTGTCCTTACAATCTGTCGAGTCGATCGATTCCGACTACCTGACGAAGCGGAAACGGCTATTTATAACCAGGAATGCTTCTTGAATTCTTATTCGCAAAGGACCTGGGAAACGACGATGCAAGAAGCTTCCTCCGAATTCGATATACCTGAACAGATCAGGATTCGAGTCGTATGAAAAAGTATTGAAAATTCGAAAGTAGCGTTTAACCGAGACGGCCTACATATCGTCCACACGTGAATACACTGATAGAGAACTCTCACATGTATAGGGTGAGCTAATTGTAATCAACCGTAACGCTTGTAAGCAATGTTATGGAACGTTTACCATTAATTTCGACTTCCTCCCTGCGACACAGATATTAAGGATACGAGCTACCAAGCGGTGGGAAAAATAACTTAATTCATCGAGGAACAAATTCTTTTACATAAATCAGTGAAAATGCGAATTTTTATCAAGCGACTAAGTAGAAACGTGTTGACACAGTCTGAGAGATCTGGTAAGACCTTTAAGAAGCCAATAATTAATTTCGTAATACGAATTGCGATTTAGCGTGATCATTCCTACTGCGTTTTCCTTGTTTGACGGAACGGTGCACGTAACTCGATTAGAAACGTGCACAGATACAGTTTATCAGTTTAAGAAAGAGGCAGAACCTTCGCCGACGAAATAGTAGGCCATTAAGGTAGTTAATATTTCCGCGAATGGTAAATGAAGAGTAGTGGGGACCGGTTGTGCTACATAGGCAGCTAACAAGCTCCAAAGTTGCACAGATAAGGCAAGACCTTGCTTCTCTGAACAAGGACACCGGTCGTCGTCTTACCATATAGACGACGCACGATCCTATCTAGCTATACGTACTGTTCCACTTTCGTATGCATTGGGAACAGTGCACTTGGCACTGGCGTGAGCGCACATACGTAGTATCTCGCGAGGCATGCGTAAAACAAGGAAACGCGACAACTAATTGTGAACAGAGTTTCTTTTTACCAGAACTAATTATTCGAATAGAGTAACGCGACTGTGAGAACTGTTGCCGAGAAACCCTTGAGAACACCAAATGATACTTCTTGCGCTTTGAGCCAATCGATGAAACTGGTAGAAAGTAGGGGAGGCGAAATCCTTTTATTCCTCTTTCCGTGTTATTCGTAGGATAGGAGTTTCGAAGCCAGTTCTGGCTGACTGTTTCTCACGTCGTGGCTAGGTGTAGGTTTCTCGAAGAGGAGCAAATCGAGAACAGGAGTCCGATCGTGTCGTTTCACCGCAGAACTCGATACCAGAGCGACCAGGAAAACTTACAATGAGCGTGCTGCGAACTCGATGACTCGACAATAGAAAAAATGATTTGTGTATCGGATAAGAGAGAATCAGAGTTGCGCGTAATACCGTACAAGGTAATTGTGTTACACGGCATGCGTTAGTTGGCACGATGAAAATTTTCCTTCGTAACTCTCATTACACGCGTGATATAATCTTATCTGTTCGATCCGCGGTGTTGAAAATCCGCGTGGACGTTCTCACGCGTCTACGTACGCGACGATGAAAATCGTTGCCGCAAGAAATGTTAACTTTCGCGAATGATTGATGCATTACCATGCTTTCGTGTTCCATGCTCGTTATTTCGTAATAACGCGATTTATCGACGGTTCTTGCTCATCCTCCACGCATGAACGTAAAGCTTCCAGGAACAATTTCTGAAATCATTCAGACAAATCGTTCGCAGGAATTCCGCGTCGTTTTTTTCTCCTCTCCGAACGTTTTCCGGAGATGGGGAAAAAAAGAGTTCTTTTCGAAACGGTGAGTAAGGGCTTTTGAGGTAATCTCGTTTCACGAAATGCGTGACGAGAATTATTCAAAGCCGGATGACGGGATATGAACAAGCGGAAGGACGAAATGCTCGTTTTTGGTGATCCTAACGATCCACGGCCGTGTTCCAAATCCTTGACTCGCGCACATACGCGCAGGGAAACGGAGTCAAGAACGAGTTATACGTACGCTCTTTCTCATGATTAACAATCACTGGATTATACATTTACGAAGTGAAGCATTTGTCGTGTTCTTGAAATTATGTTTTACAATCAAATCTGTAGCGATAACAGCGAAACTCGTCGAAAATTTATGGTTTATCTCCGACGGTTTAATAAGTAAGATAAGAAATTCTGAATCGAGCTTCGGCGCGGTCCTAATTAGAAACGTTTCGGTGATTCATACGGGTTACAAGTTAAATTTTCACGTAGCAACATTCGTTTTACCGGTTGTCTACCTGTTCTGGGTCAATCGCGTGCGCGAGGTCAGATCCCAAGAATCTCCAACGTCATTCTTCAGAGCCGTGGATCTCGTGTGCTGTCTGCAAACGCTCGTCATTTTTACCTTCGATTCGACGACTCACCGAGTAAAAAGCTTCTAATTCTCTGCGCAGAAAATGTGATAAGTTTATCAAATACGAACGATATAATTGTAAAAATGTGACCGCAATTATGTTAGCCTACTTAACGATTATCTTATCGAAATAATTAAAGACGAGAATTATAAAGGGCCGCGTCTGTTATCACTTTATCATATTATTTTTTACATTCTTTCCGAGAGAAAAAGATCGTACGTTAGTAAAAGTAATTTGATAATCTATCAATGGAATTTTTTCCAGTCCCATCGTTGGGACGTTATTAACACGACATTAAGCGATAAACGAATAACATTACGTTTCTGACTAACTGCTGAATCCAAGAGTAACTACGATACCCTGAATCATCGACGAATTCTTGCTTCGGTCGCGGGCACGCGAATAACAATTTACACAGGCTTTCTGCATGCATTATCAGGCTCTTTATCGTCAGCTGCTCGGACCTACGTCACTGTTTCTCGATCTGACGAGCCATAAGTCAACACTAAATATAGCGATCGCGTACTGTATCTCTGCCCGGATTCCTCACATGCTTGGACTCTACGATCATAGGAAAAGAGAAAGGGCCATCGATGCGAACAGCTCGGACCATCGTAATTTTTTCCTGAAACATGCCAAAGTATATTAGACTTATTCTGACTTTCACTTAAGAATGGTTTCAGGTAGTACGCATGAACAGCCACTTGGCTGTACTATCTTGAGGAGACGAGAAGTGTCTAAGAGAGATCGCTTTTGTCCCTACAGGGTAAAGAAAAGAAGTACCGGTGAAGTACGTGTTACACGTGTTTCAAAGGGAATTAAAGTACTACTCGAACGATCTCACGCCCCTTCGGAATTATCCGGATAACTTCTAAACTTATTCAGCGTGATAAAAACCTGTAGGAATCACAGAAATCGACGATAAGAGCCTTGTAACAACTAAGAGACGTGGATATCGATTTTCACGATTGAATTCTTTGGGATATTTGATCGATTCGAGTCGTTTTCGCGAGAGGCGTGGAGCGCCAGGTCTTTGACCTCGTTACAGTGATTCCCGATAGTTTCACTGTCTGGACCGAGTACACGCGGCCAGCCCCGATGAGAAAGAACCTTAAGCACTCTTCTGGGTGGGTGCGTTGAACTTACCGTCGCATTCCGTATTGATTTCGGTGGCACTGCGCGACTGGAGCCAGACGTTACCTACAGCACGTGTCCGCTTAGGACAGACACGCCCAACCCGAAGTTCCCGTAGACGAAAACCGCGTAGACGGATAACGCAGCGAAACGGATATGGAATTTCCCATCGCGGCCGGACACTTTCACTGATAAACGTCCGATGACTAAACCGTGGACATAATCGGTTGATCGTTATGCCGATGGCACGGCCGAGCCTTACGCAAGGTCCCGAAGGCCTTGAACGGGACCTTATTTGGTGAGCAAGGTCGAGGCTTCGCGGACCATTGGGTCTTCAGGCCGACCACGATCCGCCGCCATCTTACTTGGACTTGATCAAATTCTTCCTAGTGCGGGCATACACGAGCCGCTGATGATCGATAGAAAATAGACAGTATAACGAGGCCTGACGCGGGACAGATCGGTCTTCTTATTCATTTGCAACCTAGCTTAGTTTCGAAAGGAATATTCTGTGCAACGATGCTTCGCTCGAATTTGAATGAGCTCTGTAAGAGTTGATAAGGAAACATTTCGTGATTTCGGAGAAGAGATGCTGCACCCACGTGATAGCTAGACACCGGCATTTTCAGGTCGGGTTAGGCTCGATTCCATGTGATGCATACGTTACAACTTGTATGTAAATTTCGTTTGAAATAAAATCAGAATCTGACATGCCCTCGTAAAGAAACGAGTGCACGATTTCTTAGGAGCACGAATGATTCATTGATTATTTCATCGAACAGCCGTGACAGGTGTATTTATAAAACTGCCTTGTCTGCCCCGCTGTGTGTTTCGCAATGCCCGAATTTGATTCCTCGATGACTACAGTTCAATGATACGTACGCGTACGAGCTTAAGTAAAAGATCGAGTACGATCATAGAATCAGTTACGGACGCAGTATAAAAATAATTCTGTGACGAACGTTCCTATGGCCCTGGGTAATGATTCGTTGGCGAAAGAGCAACATGCGGTACTTTGACGTTTTCCTCGCCACGTGGTTTCCGTTCAGATGAACCGTCGTGGAGCCCACGAGTAGCACTCGTATCGATTTTCAAGCAGACACTGCACTCGCGCATACTACGATCTCTCCTCGCCGGACGGGTAACAGACACAGAGAGACGGGGACGTAGGGCTCGTGTGACGTGGCACCTAGTCCACTGCACCCTTATCCGCGCCCTTGAGTCTATTTTTAGCTTCTGTTTCATGAAAAAGCCGGCCGAGATGACATACACCGCATGCGATAAGTGGGAGGACAAACGTCGCCTCTGTTTGATTATATCCGAGACGAGTCCGTCCAAGATATTTTGAGTAATACGATCGACTCTTCTACTGGACACGTGTCCTACTCTAAAATGAAACTTAGACGATGAACATGCATAAACAGTCGGATCTGACCCACTGACATTCTAAATCCAGTTTTAAACATTCTGCTCTCTTTGGACATGATTTTAAAAGTAGAGGAGCAGGTAATATTTGATCAAGGATGAAGATCGTATATAGATTAACGTTTCGTTCGTTAATTCCTGAAACTACACGCTGATAGAGTTATCATTTCATACGAACAGTCATCGATGGTTAACGAAGTTGATCAAAGTATTTTCCTACCTACGAAAGTTATTCATTCTTCTTCTTCTTCTTCTTCTACCTTCTCGTTTTACCTGGGTGAGAACTATACCTGAAGGGACTCCAGACAGAATTCTAGGAACCGTTCGTTTATCGTACGAAGACCATAAGATCAACCGCTTATCGATAACCTCCAATCGTAAAAAATTACATAAAGCAGAGTAGCTTACGTACGTCATAAAAATGCTATCTCCTTTTTAATGTACATACAAAAGAGAGACTATTGTTGCCTAATGCATCGGAGAAAGGACTTCGATCAGAGATAATGTCTCAATCTCGGTGACAAGTGTTCCGATTTCAATTAAGCAAAAGAAAATACTTGTTTCGAAGCAATGTGACAAAACTTTCTGACTCATATCTACTGCCGGTACCGGTCGCATGCACACACAGACAGGCATACCGGGAACGTGGGGTAATCTCCGCATACATGCATCGATACCCGCACAACTACGAACAGTTCTCTGACAGTCAGGAAAGCCCTTACGCTAGTGTACGCTTCCAGAAGGCATTATGCTCCCCGTATCGTACAGTTTGAAGCGGCATTTGGAGAATCTAGCCGGCAGCCGGCCAGCCAACCAATCGCCGAGCCGCTTTCGTTTTATGCCCATATATGGCAAGAGCTGTGAATCCGAGCGGTGGGAGAAGCCGGCTGGACGAATCCATTCCTGAGATAGGGGTGTACGCCGTGCTACGATAATCGAGAAATCCATGTTTAAAATAAACAAATGATCATCGAATTTCCTGTTTTCCCGACTCGGGTCCATCGATGAATCGCGTTTTACGCGCGACTTTGAAAAACAAGCTGGAAAACATTATGATATGCCCGGTAATTCAGATTGTTCGCAGCGTGTATGCCGACCACACCTTTAGGTGAGTCCACATGACACGGTACCGGCCACGATCTCGCTCACAGTTCTCGCAACTCGCGGCTCTCGAGTCTCGCTTCGTCGTGCTGATAGTGTCCTCGCTGTGTTCCTTTGCCGATCGACGATCGAACCTCTCGTTGGTTACCTCACGTTACGAAAGGTGAGTACCCGTACGGTTAAACGCATTCCGTTCGATATTCGCATTGATTTACTACGTTTCGCGTCGATCTGTCAATAATTCGTAACAGAAATTATGAAACGCCGGCTCGCGAGAGCAGCCATGATGGCAGGGCGTTGCTCCCCGTTCCCGATGGTTAGCCCGTCGTGCCGTCCGTTTCGAAAATCTCGCCTTCATCAGAGTTTATCGCGAGAAGAGAATGCGTACCGGAACGATCCGACAGGTTGTCGTTGTCAAGTGGTTCCTGACGTACACGCATCGCGAGGCAGGTGGTCGCGACGTGGTCGTTTATTAATAGCTGTACTCTGTAGTTGCGGCGTTACGGCACTAACCTACGATTATGCCTGCTCTTACTTACAAATCTCAGCTTAAATCTGTCACCGATTCAGAAATTAGAACGCTGGCAAGCGTATGATATATCTGCTCCCAAAACTATACTTTAAAACCTTATTTAGAATGTTAAGCGTCCTTCGTGATAAGGGCATATCTAGAAACGGCGGCGTGTCGTTTTGTGCAAATAAACTAATTATCCGAGTCATTAAGGCTTAAGTATTTAACGCTTTACGACGATTATATAACTTTTAAAGCTAGAATAGGTGAAGATACTCGAAATTGTGGTATCGGAAACGCGTCGAGAATTTAGAGACTTAACAAGCTCGCGGTCGAAGTTACTGTAAAACGCATGCCGGAAACGATTATTGTTGTTCGGATGTAGAAAAAATTCGTCTGACATTGATCGTGATCGAAACAGGACTTACTATACGTACGTGGATAGATAGTTAGCGGGTAGGGGAAAGGCATTGGCAAGATCGGTGATGTGCGGTTCGGTCAATTTGGCGGATGCATTCATGAAGGGTTGGTGAGACACACTTCGAACGTTCGTGGAAGGGCGCGGGTAGCCGCGGGAGGGGTGAACCCCTCCGTGGCAGAGCACTTCCATATATGGTAAAGAAAGCCAGGATTGGCCGAGGGTGTCCTGCCCTTCTTGGCCGATCGCCTCGATGGTGGGGACTCCGACAACGACTCTGTTCATATAATACACTGCGAGCCGGCTGTCAGCTACACTCTGTGTTTGGTGCTACATCGGTCGGTTGTGCGGCAGTGTCACATCCAAAGAACCTCCGAGCTCTACCTAACTTGTACATAAATTTTTTTTATACCAATGTAAGTCATCGCCCTATCAGCGGTCAGTGATAGATCGTAGAATTCGTAACGTTCGCCGGTTCGAGACGAAATTTCGATTCGCAGTGAAATGCGATTAGAAATGTGCGTAGGCGGATCGGTCGCGAGTACGTCCAAACGTGGATTTCCAAATCGAGAAGTGGCTGGTGTTAGGCTTGCGATACACGCTTGTGCCGTATTTAGTGTGTTTTGTGTTGTACGCTTCCGATATTGACAGGAGACAGTGTTTGTAATTTGTAACGTTCGTTACCGGAATCCTCGTACTTGACTGGAATCCTTTTGACGGGATAATACCGGTTTCCGTGAGATGACGTGTCCTTAAGCGTGATTATAGACTGGAGTCGAAATTAATACTTTTGTCAAGCTCGGAAGTCGATTAATTCTGAATTCGATCAACTACCGTTGTACGAATTTAGTCTTTGAAAACGTGGCGGATATTGACCGTTTGATATACCGGGGCAGGGCGGGGCAGGGTGCGGTTCTAGTTGAACGACGGTTTACGGTACCTCCAGATACTTCAACTCCCGACTCTCTGCTCCTAATTACAAACATATTTCTTCTCGTATATCGAATATCACTTACGCAGAATGAATTTTTTTAAAGAAAATTCCGGCGTTCCACTTAACATAATTAATTCTTTCCCCGGCCAGTATAATGCTACGTGTCTCCCCCGACGCCATCTTGAAAATATTTGAAATATTGCTTCACAGCACATGGTGTTCTGTAACTCTTTCATTGTACAGCACTCCGTTATAAATAATTTCACGATATATCTGCCGTACGTTTAAAATACAATTTATGTCGGCTGCGTATAACATTCGTGCAACCGGTAAATTTAAACGCTTAGCTATTCTTAGAAGATCGATCGGATATTTGATTAACTTTACGTTCGACGATGCGTCGACGCAATATTATTAAGTATTGCGCGACTCGGAGATAGCCTGACAAAACTAACTGATGTTGACGATATTTTTACAGATAAACCAATAAACCAAACATGTGTGACGAAGAAGTTGCTGCACTCGTTGTTGACAATGGATCCGGTATGTGCAAGGCCGGTTTCGCCGGGGACGACGCGCCACGCGCTGTCTTCCCGTCTATCGTCGGCAGACCACGCCACCAGGGTGTCATGGTCGGCATGGGACAGAAGGATTCGTACGTCGGCGACGAGGCCCAATCTAAGAGAGGTATCCTCACGTTGAAATACCCGATCGAGCACGGTATCGTGACCAACTGGGACGACATGGAGAAGATCTGGCATCACACGTTCTACAACGAGCTCCGAGTAGCCCCCGAGGAACATCCGGTGCTTCTCACCGAGGCTCCCCTCAACCCAAAGGCCAACCGTGAAAAGATGACACAAATCATGTTCGAGACGTTCAACACGCCGGCCATGTACGTCGCCATCCAAGCTGTACTCTCGCTGTACGCTTCCGGTCGTACCACCGGTATCGTTTTGGACTCCGGCGATGGTGTCTCCCATACTGTACCGATCTACGAAGGATACGCTCTGCCCCACGCTATCCTCCGTCTGGACTTGGCCGGCCGCGATCTGACCGACTACCTCATGAAGATCCTCACGGAAAGAGGATACTCGTTCACCACCACGGCCGAGCGTGAAATCGTCCGCGACATCAAGGAGAAGCTCTGCTACGTCGCTCTGGACTTCGAACAGGAAATGGCGACCGCCGCGTCGTCCTCTAGCCTGGAGAAGAGCTACGAGCTCCCTGACGGTCAGGTAATCACCATCGGTAACGAGAGATTCCGTTGCCCGGAGGCTCTCTTCCAACCATCGTTCCTGGGCATGGAAGCTTGCGGCATCCACGAGACGACGTACAATTCGATCATGAAGTGCGACGTCGACATCCGTAAGGACTTGTACGCCAACACCGTACTCTCCGGCGGTACCACCATGTATCCTGGAATCGCGGACAGGATGCAGAAGGAGATCACTGCCCTGGCACCATCCACCATGAAGATCAAGATCATCGCGCCGCCCGAGAGGAAATACTCCGTATGGATCGGCGGATCGATTCTTGCTTCTCTGTCCACCTTCCAGCAGATGTGGATCTCTAAACAAGAATACGACGAGTCTGGACCATCCATCGTCCACAGGAAGTGCTTCTAAGCGCATATTTGATATTCCTCTTGCATACTATCATTCCCCGAATCCCGAGAGCGGCCTCTGCCTCGTTTCGCAGGCGGACGCAACATCAACTTCCGCAACAGTAATAATTGTCCTTTGGTCATTCCGGGGCGAAGGTAGCTTCTTTCGATTCGGATGTACGTGGGACATAATTCAGCGCAGAGGCAATCCTAAAACATCTTTGCTCCATTCATTTTTCATCATTTAATTAGACACTATTGTATCTTAAACGTACCCCCCGAATTCCTAAATACCCTCCTATCCTATCGAATCCTTTGTATTATATATTCAAATAACATTGCCTATGGTGTGGCATCTAGCTAACCGCCCTCACGAAAAACAAAAAAAAAACATCTTTCTTATTGTCATCGCGATATTTTACTCTACTATCGGAATAATAATAATAATAATAATAATGATAATTATTTGCTCTTCTATTATTCGACTGTGTGCTATGTATTTGCCAAATTTTAATATTCGCGAGTTTAAACGATGAACATGTATAAGTTATTTCAGAACATCGTTCGATACAGGATGGAGCCGTTTCCGTGCATATCCTCGAAGCACGAGAGATCCTTTAATTTCGTATCCTCCGACTGTATGCATTCCGTTTACTTTGCTCTCCGTGGTATTTAGACACTTCTGCGTGTCGCTTCTTCGATAATTCATCATTCCAGGCGGAGAATGGATGTTTTACTTTATTAATCACTTAACTTCTCTTTTTTATTTGCCGTTACCAATCGTTGAGGGAGAAGATGGCTCTTTCCTTGATTTTTCTCTGTTTTTAAATAATGGGGGAGACCGCTGGCCCAAAAAAGTATCCCACAAACGCTCGCTCAAACGAATGAAAAAAGACACGGTTTCGACCCCGCAAGCGTAGCCAAAGTATTATAATTTATTCCCATTGTATTGTGCAAGACCATTCACGTACACATCTTAAAAGACTACTTTAGACTTATGGGATTATAAAATAAAACTCTTAAAAACATTATTGCTTCGACTTTTGTGTTCTTTCAAGATTGCAGCTTTCCACTACTCCCTTTTACTGGATATATTAATTGTATCCTTGATCTCCATTCAGAAACGTCACGGTTAATCTGCTAGGTCGAAAGAAGTAGCGAAAACTATCATCACTTCTCATCTCTCATTTAGTACGACATTCATCTAGATTTATACACCTCGTAGCTTTTGTACCGTTTGGCGTTATCCATTATTGTAACGTGTAAGATTTGTGGTAAAACAACTTATATTACTCTAAGAATTAGGTTTATACTTTCAGTCGAATAAAAATTATTTTCAAGCAAATGGTATCTGTTACTCCTCTGTTTGTAGAAAGTCTTCAGACATTCTCGAGACGGTATACAACAATTCAATAATTAGCTATGTACTTGACAAGCATTTTTTTATCAATATTTAACGCGTCTTCAGAAAGGAGGAGTGATTTTATTCATGAAATGATTTCTAAACTTCAATTCGATCATAGATCATTGAACGCTCTTGATACTTCATCAGTTTCTTTTATCGAATCGTTAAACCGATGCATGATTGTCCCGAATTTAAATATGAATCATTGTAGAACAACACGGTGACATTAAAATTTGATAATCTCATGAAATATAAAGGTATAAAATGGATGGATTTCATCTGGTTTCATTATTCTTTGTATTCAGTTTTCGGCAACCGCGCTTAAACGTCAAATATGGTCAAGTAGGTGGCGGTGCGATGTGTTCTGTTTACGAAAACAACGCAAGTTTTGACACTAATTTAAATCTATTTTGTTCGATTCGCTATTTGCCAATTAAGTATTTGATTAAAAGTCTCATGGGAACAGGCAGTTTATCGTGTTTGAATAGCCTGATAGATCGAAAAAGGAGAAGGGATTTTGAGTCAGAGTGAGTTTTGTGCACGGTACAACGTGTAGCTGCTGTCGAATCATTGCTGAAAAAATATAGTGATAGCTGGGTCAATGGTATGTAATAACACTCGTCGATCCAAGCTGGATTCATTTTAATTGGAAGATTCAACCGAGATGCCCGAACAAAATTCGAGTGACCAATATTCTACATGGGTAAGCCCGTAATCTTGTAATGGCTTTTACGATTTTTCGTATCGTCTAACCTTTGACCACAAACCAAGACGTTTTCCAACTATCAGTCTTATAATTTCTTCCGATGTTATTATCGTTCCGTTATACATAGACGAGATTTCATTTCTGATACAGGTCGGTCTCATATACGTTTTTAACTTGATCGTTGGCACTGGGGCTTTGACACTACCTGCTGTTTTCAGTCGAGCAGGATGGGCACTCGGATTAAGCGTTATTTTAATACTAGCATTCATAAGGTATTCTCTCAATATCTGGCAGCATTAAAGGACCTTTCGATTTCAGGGTTTAATCACTGTTCGATATTTGCAGCTTCATTACAGTCACATTTGTGATCGAGGTAATGGCATCTGCCAATGCTATAATAGCTTGGCGGCATATTCACCATCGAAAACGAGTATGCTGTCCTCAAGATTCAGCTTTCAACGAATCAGAATCTGAGGTTCTTACATTTCTCTTTACGCTTGTTTCATTCCCCTTTTACGTGGAGCAGGTTCCGAAGTTAAGTTTTGAATTTCAGGTGCTTCAGACGTTAGATGAATCTGGCCCGGCGAATTCGGATTCCGAAGATACACCTCTTGTCACACCGTTCTCGAACAGTCCTGATTGCACAGAGGAGACTTGTCGATACTACATGATACGCGATAAAATAGAAATGGGACAAATGGCATCGCTCTTTTTGAACAAGTTCGGCACGACTCTGTTCTACTTGTGCTTTGCTGTTTACCTCTACGGCGATCTAAGCATTTACGGTGCAGCTGTGGCAAACACTCTGACCGATGTCGTTTGCACCTATGAACCAGCAAATCTGACGTGCAACGACACAATACCTGACACTGAAGTCTGTTGGGAAAGTCTCGTACTGGATCGTTTCGACGCGTACAGGCTGTTCCTTGTACGTTCAAAAAAAGAAATCCTCGCGAACGTCTACTTGAATAACGATTACATTTGAAACATAATTTTAGACCGTATTCGTGCTCTTACTGGGACCGTTCGTATTTTTTGACGTGCAGAAGACGAAATATCTGCAATTGTTAACGTCAGCAATGCGATGGCTCGCGTTTACCATCATGATCGCGTATGCTACGAAGAATTTGATCATCCACGGCGCACAAGGAAATCCTCCCGCAGCAAATATCATAGGTAAATAGTTCGTGACGATACTTGGATCCCAGTGTTTGACAAAATGAAATTGTGTTTCAGGTATCCCTAGTCTATTCGGTGCATGCATTTATTCTTTTATGTGTCATCATTCTCTGCCAGCGTTGGTCGCTCCGATCGCGAACAAGTCTGCTCTGAATCGATTCTTGGCATTAGATTATTTATTGATAGCAGTCTTTTATCTTTTATTGGCGTTAACCGGAGCATTCGCTTTCGAACATTTGAACGATCTTTACACGTTGGATTTCAGTCCCCGCGGGTCTGGCGACTGTTCCAAGAGTAACAATATCGTCGTTATCCTCATACGATATTTCCTGTCGTTATTCCCAGTGTTCACTCTGAGTACCAGTTTCCCTATCATAGCTATTACCCTTAGAAACAATCTGCAATCGTTGTTCCTTAACGAAGACACGTCCTACTTCTGTCTTCGTAAATTGATCTTCCCAATATTGGCGATACTGCCTCCGTATATAATCGCATTGAGCACCAAGGATCTGTCGAAGTTAGTGGCGATCACGGGATCGTATGCTGGAGCAGGTATTCAGTATCTGATTCCCACGGTTCTGGTTTATTACGCAAGGCAGCACACGAACAAAGTTATAGGCCTCGGGGTTGTCAATCAATTCGCGAGCCCGTTCTCTAATAACTGTTGGTTAGTTTTCGTCATAGTTTGGACTGTCACCTGCATGATTTTGGTGTCGGTCAATTTCATGCAGATCCATTACGATGTCAAAACCGGACATTTAAAATGAAAGTGTTCTAAGGTACAAAATTTAAAAAGAGAAAGAATATTACGTGATGGTGCATAATTAATTTCGTTTAATTGCCAAGGCTAGTGCGCATCTCTGAAATGGAATGGAAAGACTGCACAGTATTTAAATGAAATTCGTTTCGTTAGCCATTTTCATTCGTACGGTTGAGCTACTTTCGTACCGAGTTACGAATTAGTAATTGTTTATTGTTTAAGATAGAATAGTGGAACATCTTTTGGCACCATTATCGAATAATTTATTCTCATCGTACAAGATGTAATATGTGATGTGGCACAGAGCGTACCACGGTAACATGACAATAATGTGGCGCAAGTCAGAATTAATGTTGTATAAGCCAAATAAGCTTAATTTAAGTTCGAATCTATCGTATAAGACATCCTTTGTCTTTTTTTATATTTTTTATTCAGAGTACTGCCGCGATCCAGTATTCATTGTATAGAGAAAACGTCTTTCAAAATATAAGTGTGTTAATCAGTGGCCAAAACTATATAATAGCTCTTGTGCAGTGATTACAAGGTACGTGCATAAAATCATGAATCTCAGATTCCGTCGGTCCGGCTTTTCAGTATTTCGGTCAAAGAAAACGATAACTGGTTTTAACAATCTTTATTTTTTTCTGTGCACAGAAAAAGAATTACACAAATACTGAATAGATCTTGTTGATCACGCGAGTCTAAATTGTACACCGCGTAACATATTTTTATATCTGGTATAAAACTGCCAACAAAGTATTCGCATTATGTCTCGTATCATGTACCTGTACAAGCGTAGTTGTGTAAATACATAAATTATGTATATANAGGAAGGATTAGGAATACCCTGTCGCCATTCAATATTTACGGTTCCTTATCCGGATTACGCCTTTCACGCACGCCTGATCGTAAGGAAAATTGTAAAAACTGTACATGGAACGAGGGGACACTGCTGATATTGCACTCAAAAGTACAGGGAGGATTATTGAAATGCCAAACAGACACCTGAAGCAGCTTAAAATAAGGAAACCCGGAAGGAGCTATTAAGTCATAATATTGTACTGGCAGGCTACGGTGAATTGTTAAGAATCATGTTTGCTACCGAGCAATATCGTTCGAATAATATTAAAAACAATCGCGACGTAAATGCGTATATAGCGAGTACGTGCAAGTGACGAATACATATGTTACAGTATGATACCTGCACATACTCGTGCATACCACACTGCGGTATTGTATACATACCCGGGAAGTATTGTACAAAATATCGCCTGTATTTTGCTATTGTGACATGCCAGGATGCACGCATTCCCTACATACGCATTACGTCGCGATTGTATTTAATATTATTCGAACAATATTGCTCGGTGGCAAACATGATTCTTAACAATTCACCGTAGCCTGCCAGTACAATATTATGACTTAATAGCTCCTTCCGGGTTTCCTTATTTTAAGCTGCTTCAGGTGTCTGTTTGGCATTTCAATAATCCTCCCTGTACTTTTGAGTGCAATATCAGCAGTGTTCCCTCGTTCCATGTACAGTTTTTACAATTTTCCTTACGATCAGGCGTGCGTGAAAGGCGTAATCCGGATAAGGAACCGTAAATATTGAATGGCGACAGGGTATTCCTAATCCTTCCTTATTTTGTCCCACAGTTTTCGCTTCGATAACAATCTCGAACACCGTGCGACTACGAGGCGTATAGAAAATATCGTATGCACATTCATGAAAGAAAAATTCGTCGTCCGTCCGATGGGTGCGATTGCCGAATCGGAGACGGATGAAATATAAACAGAGCAAGGTGATAAGGTACTGGAAATAAGGAATGAAGGAATTGTAGTAACTTGGATTGACGTGCTCTACTTTTACGTACATACGCACGCAGTGTATGGTCATGTCTGACTTGTTCGGTCTGTTATCCGCGCGCCTGACCATACCTTACGTGTTACCACTAGACTAGACGCTGCGATCTGCTGCTTGCTCTACTTTTACGTACGTACGTACGCAGTGTCTGGTCGTGACTTCTTCGGTCTGTTATCCGCCTGACCATACCATACTTGTTGCCACTATGCCAGACGCTGCGATCTGTTTGCTCTACTTTTACGTACGTACGCACGCAGTGTCTGGTCGTCATTATATAATTGTTATATGTATTTCATATTTTGTGCAAGCAGAGACCGGTATGTATTACCTCTTTGGCACTACCGAAGAAAAACGGTCTCTGATTTTCCCGTAGGTCGACCTTTCTTTAGCTGCTGCAGGTAGAGGTAATAAACCTTTACCTGCGCGAGCGTAATTAACTGTTCGCCAGATGTTTGCGTATACGACTGTCCGAAGCTACCTGCTTCGCCTTTGTCGCGAAGGAAGTGAACATTTAAATCTTCAGTTGACAATTTCGGACGGCATACAACTACGAGACGTATAGAAAATATTCTACATTCCTTGAAGACGAAATGTACATTGCGCGAAATATAGGATATTGTATCGCCTGTCGTAAGTGTACCGTAAAAAATATTTATATTGAATGAAGACGGTAATGACGAGCGAGGGTGTTATTATGTATATATATATATATATTTTTTAATAGTAAAGAAAAAAGAAGAGATCGTGTACGATTATTTCAATTTATTTTTATATGTACATACATACATATTTTTGTGTTTAATCGTATTGGTATGTCGTACCTAGTTAGACTTAGCAGAACAAATTTTAACACGAATAGATTCCTCTGTAATAGTCTAACAACACAAGGTGGCACAGTGAAAGCATTATCATATTATTTGCATGAAATCTTTATATCATTGTCGATTCAGTTTATTCCTATAAGTCGAAAGACGTCATACAAATAACTCTTTTTGTATATATATATATATATTCGTTACAACGTGGAGCGTCTATTTTAAAAAACAGAAGATCAAACGATTTGAGAGATACGGAAACAATTATTCCTCTGAGCAAACAGACTAGCATAAAGATAGTTTGGGTTATCGGAAAGAGGGGGAGAAAAATTATTGTTGAGCAAGAGACATTTATATAATCTACGTAAATTAACTTGGTGAGATACTGTAAAATACGACGTGTAGAAAAAAAATTACTTCGTGGTGGCTGCGTTACGCAACGAGCGTGTACGAGATAAATTGAAGTTTGCCTTGTAGAAAATACACTGAAAAAGGTACGCAAGTAAACACCCCCAAAGTGAACACGTGTGTCGTTAATTGACCAAGAAGTTTCGAATGGACTCTTTAATAAATCTGTACGTGGCTACTTACATCGAGCTACAATTTGATTTAGTGATCTCCCGTCACTGTCCCAAGCTGAAAGAATGGCACGTCTTCGGTTTATTTTAAATAAATAGTACCCAGCTCACGCAGTGAAAAAGCTGTCCCTCTGCTTTGGAGATTTTAAAGCTAGGATGCTTGTACTACTCCATTCTTCTTTGGTCATCAGTCTTTAATTGTACTACAAGTTTTCGGTGAGAACCCCGTCGTGTTCGTCCCGAGTTCTACCTAATTATATATAGTAATAGAATACTTCTGTAGGTGCGTTATCGTTAAAAATCTTTTTGCGATCAATTTAAATGATAATGAATATCATTGGATTTCAAGATATGTCTTCGTCAGTTCCCTATGTCGTTACCAAACTGAATTCGTCAGATATTTTTGGATCAGCGCTTACGACGAGTTACCAAATCGCGTAAATAAGGTTCGCGTTAATACAAATGTATATATTTCCCTCTTTGGTTCGCGGTATTAAATCGATTAAGAATTTCTTTAGTACAAACGGCACGCGGGCCCAACGTTACTTTCATCAACATCTGTTATCACTTACAACATTTAATCAACTCTTTACTTATATATAACTTATTTATTACTTTACACGAGAGCTGCGTTTGGTTTGATTTAAGTTAACGTAAAGAATCATTTGCAAATTACCAACAATAGGATGTTTGTTCTCACTTTCGTTCAATTAGGTCGTTACTCGTAATTGTTTAAATACGGGCAGGGGGCATCGTCGTGACCCATGCACTCGATCACGGGGTCGTGGGTACTGTCCCACATTCCTGGACCACATTGACGGCAGAGTCCTGCCAGCGTGCACGGCAAGCGGACGAGCTGACGGAAATGATGAAGTAGGCCCCGCGCCTTCCGCAAAATGAGATTCCCATCCATGTACATGGCCAGAGAGCTGAAGTGCAACAACATCTCGTCCGTCCTGAGGTCCTGCGCGATCACGTCGTCCGCGTACACGCACATTATAGCGAGACAGAGGAACAGGTGGAAATGATCCGTTAAATAATTCACCCAACAGGCTTCCCACATCATCAGAGCTACTTCGGTAGGAAACTCGCGCTTCAAGCATCTGTAAAACACACAGAAATTGGAAGGATGAGAATTTGTAAATATCTGGCTAGATTATTTCTACTCACAGAAGTATCCATCTGTGACAAAATAGAAGTTCCAAGGCATCTGTATGTTTTTCAAGATGTGCATAAAAGTCCGGTACCATTATTCTAACTAATTCTCTCAAGTAACATAAATTCCTGTCCATGTCGACGTCGGTAGGCGTGCATACTGCCACGGATCTTTGCATCAACCCGGCGAAGCACCAAAACGCATCGATCTCCGAATTCAGTTCGGCCAGCAACGGAGCCAGTAAATCGGACATGCCTTGAGTATATCCTAATCGAGAATTATAAACGGCATAGTTTAATAGAATGTTTCTGAAAAAGATAAAAGACGGGATTAATCACAAGCGTGAATTATAAATCGAATTAATGTCGAGCGAACTAACTTCATTATTTCGATATTTGGATTATTCTCGCCAGCGTAATAAGGATTTCCCCTGTCGGTACGGACCACGTCTTTCTCGACGATGCAGACTACGTTCCTCCAGAAATGTTCCGCCTGTTCTGGGCCCATCGTCAGTCTACGTTTCTGTATCTCCTCGTATTCCTGTCTACGGATCGCGTCGATCTGTTCTCTATCGTCGTAAGTACTTTGATATGAATAACAGTGAAGGAGAAAGGGCCAGACGATCTTCCTTAACGCCGGTTCTAGTCCGCCGAAAAATATTCCTTTACGAAGCGCGAGATCGTCTTCTACTTGGCCTCTTTCGTTCAACAGATCTTTCCAAGCTAACGACGTGATCATCGGTACTTGCCCTTCTTCCGGGTGCAACTCGTCGCGACTTACTTCCGGTCTACATACCATAAAATGCCTGGAACACAGATACGATCACAAATATATATCGAAACGTTCGTTTCTCTTGGATAATCGGATATGCTACCTGTATGGGAGCGTTTCCTCTGTATCTGTGTCCAATCGCGGATAAAGCAACTGATGCCACTGATGCAGAGTCGCTGCCAAGCGATCCAGTCCACCATGGTGAAAATGCAGGATCTTATATTGACTTTCCCTACTGGCAACGACCAATTGACCAGAGGTGCAAGCTGGATCGGCGAAGAACAGCCTCAAGGACCTCATTTCGCTGAGATCCACCGAGAATCTCCTACACCTGTGCGCTCTGCGCAACGTTACCGGCGAGGCCGTCGCGCTCTCAGGGAACGTGAGATTATGTTGCAAAGCCAACAGTTCGGGCGATCTCATCCACGATGGAATCTCTTCAGCTACGGTAAATTCGTCACGTTAATGATAATTGAATAATACGAACCGAATCGATCGAACAATGAATAACTACCATCGGAAGGCACGCCGACGGACAAACTGCAGGTAGAAGTCAGGGACATGCTACGACTTTTAAGACTTCCATCGTCGCAATAAGGGTATTTCAACTCCTCGTCGATGCTCTTCCCGTCGCCTTCGGATATCTTTCGATCCTTACACCGTCGATTCTCATCACTTTTCGAGCTTTCCGATTCGCAGCGCAACCGGTTCAAAACAATGCTGTGATCACCCTCTTCATGTATCGCCAGCGAATTGTCAGATTGTTGCTGACAATTTTCTTGCTCGCTGACAGAGGCAGCCGACGTTCCTTTAACTTCTGACGTAACCACAGTTCGATCACCCGATAAACTGCTCCCGTCATGGCTTTTCGTTTCCGTGTCGTCGTCCTTGGCACGCTTGAACCCGCCGGAACAAACTCGCTCGCAGTCACCGCAATTCACGGGTTCTTTCACCTCGAGGCAGACGTCAACCTTCTCGCTGGAATTTTCGTAATTACACTTCAAATCACAGCTCTCTTCGGATATCTGAGAACGATGAGAGCTTATACTGTTGACGTCTCGACTGGGGGTTGAGTCGGGCTTCTTCGCGCTCAGATTCTCTAACGTTGTTGGATGTTTGCGCAGTGTACTGTTCGGTATCCAGCTGAGGTGCAGCGTCGGGACGTTCGAGTTCTTGTTCAGCCTACAGGTTATGGCCATGTATCCGGGATGATGGACCACGTCGGAGTTCTGTCTCATCAGAGTCGGCGGATGGACGCAGACGTTATTCTTGCAGAATAATGCCTCGCCGTCCTGGTACATCGTCCGCCGACTGTCCTGATTGCAGTCGCCTAGGATGTAGCTGCTTGCCTTCCTCAGAATGTTTGGCAGAGGCATCTTCTTCGTCCGGTACAAACTTACGAATCCAGATCATCTAGTTATAATTTTATTAGCACGATTATCTCTTTGCTCCTCGTACGCGTCAAGCTTACGTGCGCAATTTTCAATCGTCGCGCGATTGTCAAGTGACGAGACCGTTAGAATGATTACACGTTCACGTACGAGCAAGTACGATCGTTCGAAATTCTTGTTCTCTTCAACACCGTCGATGTGTTCACGTGGGGATACGAATTAAATCGTGGTATATCCTTCGGGCGATCGTTAAAGAATATCTAAAGAATGCTCGACGCATCTAGAGAGTATCGGATCTGCAGAGGTCAAACTTAGTCGCGCAGATGCGCGGACGGACCTGCATTGAAACGCAGCGTTGAACTGATTTTCTCTTCCTGTTACGTTTTCCCGCTATCGTCCGCTCGCCAAGCATAAATACATGTTATCGCACTAATTAACTCTGATACGCACACGTAACCGATAAAACTATACGTATGCGTATGGAGCGTGTATCTCAAACGCTTGAAATTCCCGACTCCATCTGTTCTCCGCTTACACCCGTCGTCACGAGGGTGACACGTCGTAGGATCGTTGCGAAGAGCTTCGCAGGTCATCAGGAATTCATCGTGTATTAAAAACGTTGATCACGTTCACTTTCACTCGAACGAATTCATGAATGAAAACTTGTATCATCGGTACGTCACTGTTCGTCGTAGATGCGATCGAGCTTTGAATGAGCAAGGCACGGGTGTACGACTAGATACTTCTGCAGATGCAGGATCTTTGTCAAATCGTAGCGTTCCTCCGGTTCGTTAAAACTTTCACGATGCACTAGCTTAACGATGTAGTGAAACGTGTTTGCCAACAGACAGGACACAGATGCCCCTTATCCAGAATCAATATTTCCATCTGATCGTGAACCTGGTGGTTGGCTTACTATCCGCCACGCCGACATACCGTTGCCACCGTTCTATATGCCGTTCTTATTGATTTTCCCCCTCGCGTTCAGTTTGAATCATTTCTCTCTCGATTTCGTAAAACACCTCGCACCTCTACTCGAATCACACGTTCGGTCTTTCGTATCGAATGTTTTTTATCATAAAAACGAGTAC